CAGCTCAGGGGGCCAGAAAGGGCCAGGAAAGTGGGGGAAGAATTCTTCACCTCCCTACTCCCACTGTGTCCCCACACTCCCATGTTACCCCCCACACTCCCATGTTACCCCCCACAGCAAGACAGGATTCTCTGTGTTCTCCATAGCCCCTCAAATCATGCATTGAAGAAGAATAACAGATCAACCCCTGCACAGCCCAGTGCAGCAACTATGCACATCCCTCAGCCCATCTAATACCACCTCCCAGCCAGGGTGAGTATGCGATGGCCAAGTGCTCCAACTCAGCAAGCAGAGTCCCAGATCCCCACTGTGACAGCAAGGAGGGACCTCGTGCCTTCTGGCAAATAAGCTCACACGAGACCACTAAATGGTGCTGAATCTGCACTCTAACCCCACTTTCTTCAAAGACCCCTTCAGATGGCCTCTTGCCCTCACCCAAACCCAATCCTCGGCCTTACACTCACCCTTCTTGACAGCATTGACCTCCAAGGGTTTCAGCCCCAACTTTGCACGGAGTTTACTGAGAACAAGAGATACAAGTGTTAGAGGCTGTCAAAGAAATGGACGTCAAGTACATTCCCGGACAGAGAGGAGGTAAAAAAGAGTGGAAATGAGTGGTTCTAAGAGTTCCAAACACAGGGCCTGACCCAGGCAGCCTAAGGAATTCAGAAGGGCACTGGCCTCCAAGCAGTGAGCGTGGGCGCTAGGCCTGGCCTGTCCTAACCAGAGAAGGCCACCTTTCTCTTAGATCTTAGCTTCTTCTCCTGTAACTCAAAGGCTGGCTGTGATGACTGATATGGACTTTCTAACTCCAATCAGTGGTAATGAGAAAGCCTCCCCAGTGGCTGCCCCAGAAGCACCTGTCTTCAGAAGAAAAGAATAGAAACATAAGAGAGACAGTACTTACTTAGTCTCCTCGATGCTGAGTGAGGAGGCATCTCCGGAGCTAGTTTTGGAGCTGGCAGCTGGAACAAGAAGAAGCACGGCTCAGGAGCGGAACACAAGGCCAAGAAGCCAGCATGATTGGCTCTAGCTGCAAGGTCAAAGACGAGGGCCCCTCACCAGCACCTGGGCCTGCTGAGACACCAGAGAACAGTAGCCTTCTTCCACCTAAGCTCCCCAGCAGCTCTTCCTGCCTGAGTCCAGTCTCAGGGCGCTGCCTCTTTTCCACACCTTCCTTTCCTGACCCAAGAGATCCAACTTCCAACTTCCTGCAGCCTTCACCTTGCCCTACTTTTTTTTTTTTGGAAGAGACAGAGTCTTGCTATGTTGCCCAAGCTGGTCTTGAACTCCTGGCCTCACGCAATCCTCCTACCTCAGCCTCATTAGCTGGGACTACAGGTGCCCAGCTGCCCACTCCACTTTCGTATATTCTGTGTCTTCCACCTAAACCGTTGTCGGTGGTCTTACTCTAACAAAATCCTATCCAAATGCAAAGATCAAATACCATGTCCCTCATGAAGCCCTATTCAGTTACTGATCAGCATTAACTGCTTTCTCCTGAACTCCACAGCATGGTCAGTCACTTCTGTGTCTGTTCCTCCCCACAGGGCAGGGAATGAGGGAATGTGCTGGCAGCATGACTATGTCCTCTGTGCAATTCATGCAGTCAAGAAACACTTTTAGCTGTCTGCTCTGTGCTGGATGTTGGGGACAGAGATAAATAAGCATTTTGGACCTCCAATACCCACCTCACAAGCACATCACTTCACTCAACACCACAGAGAGGAGTTGGACACCATCAGATGGAGGTCCCTCCACCAGCTGCCGCCATGAGCTCTTCTTTTTCTGTCTCCCCAACCCACATCCCACCTCCTCCTCCTTTATCCTAAAAGTTCCTCTCTGCACCTGGGCCCTGGAGCCCGACCTCTCTAGGCTCTCTCCAAGGTCACCAGCCTCCTTATTTCTAAATCCAATGGATTCTTTTCAGTTTTGGTTTTCCTCGATCTCCTGTGGTGTGAGACTGTCGATCACGGCCTAACAACAGGCCCTTGCCACAGATCCCAAGACACAAATCCTCTGGTTTCCCTGCCTTTTTGACTACTCTATCTCCTTTTTTGTAGCATCTTCCTCTGCCCATTACTAAAATATTGGCATTTCTCAGGTTCTATTCCTGACCCCAGCCTTTCACTTCACATTCTCTCAGGGGGCTTCATTGGCCACTAAATACTCACCACCCCTAAACTGCTCTGTCCAGCCCAAACCCTGGGTTCCCCCATGCACATCAACCTCAACACTCTCCAAAAGTGAATTCGTAGGCCAGGCGTGGTGGCGCATGCCTGTAGTCCCAGCTACTCGGGAGGCTGAGGCAGGAGGATCGCTTGGGCCCAGGAGTTTGAGGTTGCTGTGAGCTAGCCTGACGCCACGGCACTCTAGCCCACGCAACAGAGCAAGACTCTGTCTCAAAACATAAAAAAAAAAGTGAATTATCTGCCCCCCAAATCTGCTTCTCAGCTCCTCAATCCCAGTAGATGACATCGCCACCCACCTAGCTGCTCAAGCCAAAATTCAAGGAATCATCCTCTTTCCTCCTTCTTCTCTCCCTCATCCAAGCACTAAGTTCTGTTAATTCCTCCTCCAAAACACTTCTTCAATCAGTCCACTTCTCTCCAACTCACTGCTGCTGCCTCAGTGCAGGCAGCCTTCACCGGGGTCTAGAACCCTCCAGATTTCCCAGCCTCCAGTCCTGACCACCTCTGACCAAGTTCTTAATGCAGTGATCTTTATAAAATATGAATCTGAGCAACTTACTGCCCAACTCAAATCCATGGCTCTCTACTACCCTCAGGACGAGGCCAAGTCTCTTTAAACTACAGTACAAGATCCTCCGTGTTCGGACCCGTGTTTTACTGCCCCTTGAGTGCTACACGATTCGCCCCATGCCAGGTTTTCTCTTGCCTCTGCACACGCTGGTACCACTTCATTCATTCACCCAATACGTTTATGGAGGACCTGTGATGTACCAACAATTGAAAACAGAAGACTTCTGTCCTCGTAGACCTTAGTAAAGAAAGTCAACCTTTAATCCCAAGTGACCGTAGGAAGACTGATAAGTGCTGGTGATGGGAGCCTGGCGTGCTTCGCAGGCACTGAGGACCCGCACCCGCTCGGGACCCCTACCTGTCCCGCCCCCTGCACAGGCCCCGCCCCTCACCGGCCTCGTAGCCATCATCGCGCTTCTCCCGCTTCACGCGCCGCTCAGAGGGCTCTGCCACGCTGCGATCCCGCCCATGCGCGCTGCTCCGGGCCTCGGCTTCAGCCCCGCGCCGCCCGCTCCCGCGCTCGCTTCCACGCTCTCGGCTCCGCTTCCGTCGTTCGCCGCCGCTGCCGCCACCACCGCCACTCCGATGCTTATGCTTTTTGTGCTCCCGGTGCCGAGGCGGCTGCTCGGTGGCGCCCCCGGTGCCGGCCGCCGCCGTCGTCCCGGCCGCCTCCTTCTCTCCGCGGTGCTTCTTTGACGACCCCATCGCGGTACGTCTGCCCCGAGCCCGGCCGCCGCCGAGCTCCGACGACGCAAAATGGAAACACTTCCGGGTCGCTTGGCAGACGCTGTTGTGTTGCCGGAAACCAAGAGGGCCTGCTTCCGTCGTTCGCTTTGGAACCTGCCCCAGAGGCTCATGGGAAAGCTGGGATCCAGGCCCGACCGCGCATTAGCGGATGCTTTGGTTGGGTGGCGGCCGTTTCGCTGGTGAGCCGGTTGCGCCAAGGGCACAAAGTTAGCATGGAGAAGATCGGATCCCAGAACTATAAGGTCCTAGATGCCTTCTAAGCCAGCGTCCCTGGAGCTGGAATCCCCCCCCGGCCTCCCTCCGCTTGCACTCCCCCAGCCGCGGGGTGTTCACTGCCCCACGGTCTGTCCGTGGACAGCTTTCTCCTCTCCAGTAGGCGTCGCCTAGTGCACTCCCTGGGGCCGTGGCTCCATCGGGTGTTGGACGATACAGCATGTTTTCCTCCTCCGCGAGACCTCCAGTTTCCAAACCCCTATAATCGGTATTATCAGCGAACGCCTTCCCATATTTCCTCGATTGGGTTTTTTTAACCTGCGCCCTGTGGAGTGTTAAGGACCTCCAGGTGAGCTTCTGTGCGTCTGTGAACCACCTGAAATTGAGTGCAAAATTTGGCACATCTGTGTGTATGAGCTTTCGGTTTTTTTCTTGAGGAGAGAGGCTCTAACTAAAACTACTGGGCCTTAATAAAATGTGGTATATGTATACCATGGAGTACTATTTAGCTATAAGAAACAATGGTCATATAGCACCTCTTCTATTTTCTTGAATAGAACTGGAACCCATTCTACTAAGCGAAGTATCCCAAGAATGGAAAAGTAAGCACCACGTGTATTCACCAGCAAATTGGTTTCACTGATCAACACCTAAGTGCACATATAGGAATAACATTTATCGGGCGTCGGGCAGATGGGAGGCGGCAGGAGGGGATGGGTATATACATACATAATGAGTGCAATGCGCACCGCCTGGGGGATGGACACGCTTGAAGCTCTGACTTGGGGGGGGGCAAGGGCAACGTAACCTACACATTTGTACCCCCATAATATGCAGAAAATAAAAAAAAACTACTGGGACTTAAAAGCCCAGTTCACACAACCCCTCTCACCCTACAGTGGCTCAGCCTGTCACTACCTGTGTGGCCCTTCTCAGCATGTGTTAGCGTGTCGCACATGCTTATTTAAAGTCCACCCCCCTCTCCCACTGGACTGGGAGTCCTCAAAGGCGGGGGCCGGGCTTTCCTATTCACTCTTGAATTTATAGTACTCAGTGTATATGTTGAAGACGGGTGGAGGAGTCACAGCTGTTACTCTTCAAGATGTTCCACTCCTCAGGAGCAGAGAAGGGTGTGTGTGTGCTGGGTGGGGGGCAGCCAGAACAGCCAGAGCTCCTGGGGGATGTGGGAACAGAGTAGGCCTGATGTCCACCCACCTGCCACCTCCTATTCCCAACCCGCATTCTCCCCTCCACCACCAGAAATCCCACACTGTATGTGCCTTAAAGCCTTTAATTTTTCTCTCAGGATCTGCACGCCGGGTCCAGGCTGGGGGTGGAGTGCCTGTCAGGCTGGCTGCCGGTGGGTTCCGTGCTTGGGGGACTCTGAGAAGAGTGCTCCATTCTCACCCCCATTGACTTATGACTCCTTCAAGACAGAAAGAAACCACTGGGCTCCACTGCTCCCACCCCCATACCCAAGGAAACCACTGACGATGTGGGTTCAAATCCAGCTCCTATACTGGATTTCTATGTGGCCCTGGGCAGGTGACTTCCCCTTCTTGAGTCTCAGTTTCCTTATTGTGAAGGAAGCCTCATAATCCCTGCTCTGTACCGGGTTCTTCTGAGACATAAGCGATCGTATACACTGGTGACCAGTGTGGCACCAGCCCCTAATGAGGGCTTGGTGTGTGGCCACTCAGATGGTCACAGAGCCCCAGACTGGCTCTGCTGCCTATTCACTCCTGTGTCCTTAAGCAAGGCCCTGCCCCTCAGGTTCTTAGTTTCCTCATTAGGAAGTAGAAACAATAACCCTGGCCCCACCTTCCTCCAGTGACATGGAGGACAGGGCCTCAGGGAGACCCTGCAGGGACCAGAGTGCTGGAATGGACGCTCTTTCCTGCAGTAGCTCGGCAGAGCGAGTTCTTAGCTAGCCAGCCAGCCTCACCTGGGTTTCCTGGAGGTGCCCTGTGTGTCCCCTTTTCCTGCCTCAGCCAACAGCTGCTCTTCATCCAGTCCCAGTGCTGACAGCACCTGGGAGAAGCGCCGGGTCACGGTAAGCCGGGCGTTGGCCTGAGGAGAGACAGGAGGGGTTCCCGCTCTGCACCAGGGTTGCCAAGGGCTCGGGGAGGCTTTGGTTACTGAGGGGATCCCAGGGCTTCCGAGGGGGCAGCGGGCCAGGGATCCAGCTTTGTTCTCGGGGCAACTTTATGCTTGCCCAGGTGCTAGCCTCACCTGCATAGCCTGCTGGAACAGGAAGGGCCGGGCCTGTACCCTGTGCTGGATGCCCTGCAACTCTGCCTGGTACTCAGCAAAGCGCTGTCGCTCCTGGCGCCTATGGGGAGACAGGCCTTTGGGCAACTAACCATGGGCACGTACCCACTCCTGAGCACACTCGTCCTCATTAAGGAGTTTCTATTTACGTCCTCCCCCCACCCTTACCTTTACAAAGCCATTTCATTCCCGTCCTGGCCCTGGATTCCTTGTGAGGTCAGCCAGGGTGGGAATTATTCACCCCATTTTATCAGTGACTCAGGAGGGTCAAGAGACTTGTGCAAAGTTGTGCAGCTGGGAAGTGAGGGACTGAGCCCTCAGCCCAAGTCTCCAGGCTGTAAACCAGGGCTTGCCCTTCCTCCCAAGGGAGAAGGCTCAGCCCTGCATTTGAGCTCCTCGAGACCTTTTTGCACAGCCTCCCCCTCCTGCAGTTCATACCTCTGCCCTCTCACACTGTACCCTGAGGAGGAAAGGGTGATTGTGGGCTGTGCCACTGTGGGCAAGGCCCCTCTCTGGGCTCAGTTTTCTTTTTTGTGCAATAGCAGGGATCGGACAGGCTTGCCAGTGTTCTCTGTGGCTCTTGTAAGCCAGAAATTGGGACAGAGGAATTAAAAAAAAAATGTGTTCCAAGTTAAAGAACACATCCCAGAAAGATCAGTGTTCCACTGGGGAAGCACAATTCCATTTATAAAAACCCAGTTTATGCACTTGTCAGAAATGTCTGTTCAACAAGCGGGGTGTTGGCC